ACATTGAACTTTTTCGCAAGTGGGACCTACTTACGCCGTCCACGATTGCAGTAATTTCATTTGCTGAGAAGTTAGTATTCCTCTTTGACTTAGATGGTTCCATCTTGTCAACTCAAGAACAAACTTGTCTATGAATGATGATGCGTATATGCTGCGAGTGCGTCGTATCATGCAGGCGACGACGAACCAAGGAAGTAAACAAAAAATTGCGCCATCTAGGTCCGCGCCGTTTTTCAAAAGTAGTAAAAATCGTATTACGCATGCGTAAGCAAATATTTTTGGACTTAAGACAAAATTTGCTGCCCCCTGTCTCTTATACACATCTAGATGTGTATAAGAGACAGTGCGCCATCTAAGATGATATTTTTGCTAAGATTTTGCTAAGACGGTTTGATAAATCAGCTTAAGATTTTTGCTTAGCTACTTCTTAACTTTTTTGACTTAAGACATTTGCTAAGCTGAGATTGATAAATCCCGGGCCAGGCCTGGGATTTATCAATCTCTGCTTAGCAAAATGTCTTAAGTCAAAAAAGTTAAGATGTCCCTATGCAAATACCTTAAGCTGATTTATCAAACCAAAGCAAAATCTTTACTTAAAAATCGTCTTTAGATGGCACATGCATACAATCGACTTTTTAATTTTAAGAAATTTTTAAGCTAAGCAATATTGATAAAATCTGACTTAAGCAAAAAAATTGACAAATTTAAGCTGATTTTTAATTTGGTAAATCCAGCCCCAGATCTGGGAAAGCATTCTAGGAAGAATTACCATTAAAAAACTCTTCCTCGATTTAAAATGTTTAATTTGCTCTCACAATACACGTTAATCAACATGAAATTATTTATGGCGAGTCATATGTCCAAGCGGTTAAGGAAAGGGGGCGCTGCAACCTAACTACAGCCAGAGCCGTAGATAGAGAGAGTTTGGCCAACTCGGTTTCACTGGATTCGATATACGCGCGTGATTGGGTGGACTGCAATCACATGACTTACACCGGCCATGTTGTCACCAAAACAAAACATTAAAGCTATACGCGCGCATGCGCCTGGGCTGTTTGGTAACGACATGGCGTCTATGCGCCAAGTTGGCCAAACTCTCTCTATCTACGGCTCTGACTACAGCCATAAAATATCAGCGCTGGTTCAAACGGCATGCTTGCCTATTGTGGTGGAAACAAGTCTTCTCGAAACAGGACTAATAAACCGTTTAGGCCCAGTTAACAAAATTGGCTTATTATTTATTATTATTTATTTATGTGCACTTTAAAGAACCCATTTAAGGGGTTACCCTAGGTCCATACAGCCCCTGTTACCATGCAGTTATGGACCATTAGGTCGTTTGCAGGATGTACCTACATAATGTAAATTATGTTAATTCTTTGTATATTAAAATCACAGGTGTGAAAATTTTACTAGAAGGCCGAATTACTATTATCATTATACATAAATAAATGTAGCCAATTGTTCAATAACCATTATTTTTTTTTTTTAGTTTAATAAGGATTTTTATAGCGAACATATCCAGAAACCTGTTCACAGCACTTATATAGCTGGTCATTGGATACAGAATCAATCATACACATGCAACCTAGCTCCTCCACTCCCTGCGGGAGAATTTCTAGTTTATGAGTGAACTTCAGCACCACTATTTTCATTCTGAATCATTCACCTCCTAGTAGGTAACCATTTACATTCCCGGGTAAAGAGAGGAAAATGCAGATGAAGTGTCTTGCCCAAAAACACAAACAGTGTGATGACCCCGGTCTCGAACCCCTAACCTTCCGATACACTGCGCCATACATTTCTTCTATTGAAACTATGCTTTATGGCATCAAAATTAAGTCTACTAATGATTAAAATAATTATCATTAACATACGTGGGCAGTTGTAAAGCTTGTTAGCCTGTGTAATGTCTCCTGGGCTAAGCTGCTTGCGTTGACCAATTTCTGGCCTTTCTCCTCCATCAGGGTCTTTGCGTGGAAGAATAGTATCGAGCCATATTCCACGTGAGAAAGTATTGCGCGCGTAGTGCATGATGCTGTGGTAGTCATACGGCTCGCTCAAACTATCCACTTCCTCCGCCGACAGCTTATGAAAATTGTATTCTTGTCCTATGAATAGAAAAGAAGAAATCTTTACTTTAATACAAAAACATATAAATTGGTTGAGGCAGTATTTCCAAATGTAAATTTTTAATGCATGCAGTTTAATCCAATTTGTGATTGCTTTCACGTTCAATAGCAAGTATGGAATCCAGATGAAGAAATGTAGGTTGAAAATTTCCCACACGAATAACATACAAGCAGTACCGGTAAAGACAACTTGATTTCTAGCTTCGAACAAAGTATCCATACAGATATCCTTACAAGTATAAACCCAGGACATAACTCCAACTTTAAATTGACAAAGATAGAAAAATGTTAAATGCAGAAACAATGTATACGTATACGCCTCAAAATGAAAAAAGTGTAACTTAAAAATTTAATGCTTTAATGCATGTATGATGTAAGTACTGTACCTCTGTTAATTATAAATAAAATAACATAAAATATGAAAGAATAAAGGATCAAGGAAGAATAGGAAGGCAATTCAGATCGGCTGAAATATTTTCCAAAAATAAACAATAATATTAATGATCAATACGTCATTATTGTTTTACGTTTTAGTAACAATTTTGGACACTATTCATCAGAGGTCAATGTTCTCTGTCGGCTACATTCTTAGTACCTTCTTTTCAGGTCGTTGGTCCACCTTATTTAATTCCAAAAATTTAAAATCTAGTGATTTTCAGTGGTAAAACTGCAAGATTCCGGGACAAAAAAAAAACGTATCTATGATGAAGATACCTTGTTTTCCCTCGGAATGGTATTCAAAAGTTGTTTTGACTGATAGAGTTCGGCAAAGGCAAAACAAACTGGTTGCTGATGTTTTAATATCAATAATCTTTAAAGACAATAAACTAGATAATGCATATGATTGCTGCAAGTGAAAATAAGAAATATGTCGCACTTTCGGCAATACCACGCCTGACATGTTTCCGAGGTAAGAACAACATATCTGTGAATATCGTTAAACAGTTGAAATTAAAATTGTATATATAATTATAATGTCAATAAATATAGTCATGCAAAATTTCAGAAAGGTACAACAATTTATTACCAAGTTGCAAACATGCAAACTTTAACTCTATATTTCTCGAAAAGTGAAAATTTCAAAAGGGGGGGGGGGCAATCCTGCCACAAGAAAAGCATACACAAGACGCTCTATACAGACTCATTATAAGGCATAGGGATTGGAGTTTGCTTTTGGTCATGGAGAAAAACAAAATTGTGACAGAACTGATCCCAAGGACCCAGGAACAAGGAGGCAAGCATCCTAAGCACCAAGCCATTCAACTCAACTTCACAAAGCTATTTAACTCAACTTCACAAAGCTTTTCAACTCAACTCCATTCCATCATTCTTTTTTTTTATTTTAAAATGTTTAATTTTATAGAAATCTTATTATGAGGTTTAGGAAACGAACCCAGGATACTGGATTTGGACGGTGGGCACCTTATCCACCATTTCCACATGTGAAAATGAAATGAAAACAAATTGACAATCATTCTGAACAAAAAATCCTACTGGCATCAATATGGAAAGGTTTTGGCCTGTCCTTCTCATTAGTTCAATCATGGAGGTATTATAAATACGAAAGAGTTGCATTAATAGTTGAATATTAAGAACCGCTTAGTTCAATGGCCGAGGGGTAAGACGGGGCACCGCAATTTAAAACCATAATATCGGCGGTGGTTGGAATAGTACACTCACCTATGGTTCTGGTGGTGGAACAAGTCTTCTCGCAATTAAGTAAGAACTATAAACCGTAGAACCAGTGTACAAGCTATAGTTCATGTGCACTTTAAAGAACCCAGTACATCTTTTTAGATCAGTGGGGTTACCCCGGTGTACTGGTCATAACAGGTCTAGTTATATGAACAGTCAAATGTAGCATGGTACCAAATTTTAAGACTTCAAAAAAGAGATAAATTCAAAATACATTACATTATATTTATAAAATAAGTAAACCAAAAGTTAAGAATCAAAACCCAAAGTTTCAAATTATATAAATTTATACCCATTTTTGCTGTATCTCCTCTTTCTCTCTTTCTCCCTCTCTAAAGCAACGTCCATGGTGATAAATTTCAATTTAATTCTCAAATGTTTAACTAACCAACAGCAAAATCCTCCATCAAAAACATGTGATAAAGCAGTTGAAAGGAAAGCATGCGAAGCATAATTTGCCCACAGAAATTAATTAGAAAATTACAGAGCTTCCTCAATTCCTGTGAGCTATCATAACACAGCGTGTTTAGGAAGCTAATATTATTAGTAAGGCAAGAGGAAGAATGTGGGAATACGAATGAGGGGTCTAGAGGCTCTCCTTCAAGAAATCATTTTTTCCTCATAATGTAATCACATGTCGAACATTACTTAACCTATGGAAGATCATTACACCTGTATTCAAACATACACTGAGTAATTATATAAAGGGTTCAATCACTTATGTTTGAATGTCCATTGCAACTTACATTCTGTTATTTACGTTTTTTGTGGATTTGATTGAAATACGATAAAATAAACTTCAGCATGTATTAGAATTATTAGGTTTAGATTTTAAATTCATCCCCCTTGTTACTCAAGCTGATTACAGGCCTGTTTTATATTATTTTATCTACCTCTACACGATATACATCAGAAGTAATACACCTACACAATCCAACACTCTTAATATACTATTCCCTGCGTGCATAAAATAAGTGCTGAAAATTAATAGCTAAAAGGTTATCCCACATTCAATACATTATTGAATACTGTACTGTAGGGGAATGAGCTCTATTACAGCTCATTACCGAGCCACCACATTGTGTGGTTAAGTTGGCCAATTTCTTTCCACACTGCCCAGGGGAGGATCCAAGATTTGAAAGAGGGGGGTTCAAAATATTTCCAAAAACCCCTAAAATGAAAGAGGGGTTGGGAAAGTTTTGATTCCTACAGTAGATGGTCGGAAAAGAGCTTTCCTGACTCCTGAGAGTTTTTTAATGACATTTAAGTTCTTCAAAATTCAAGGTTTTCTCCCTCTTGAAAATGGTCAGGTAATTTATCTCATTCTTTAGATCTATAAATAGAGAAAAAAAAATCAGACATATTGGCAATATACTATTATTTTCCAACAATATTGAGTAGTTGGATACGTAGACTTTCTTTCATAGATTGATGAATCGACAGGCCTGAAGAACACACTTATGCACATAAATTATTACACAATATCGACCCAAAAACAGCGTGTATAATTTTATTTAACTGCAGGCTAGTTGGGCTAAGCCTAGTTTGTCCGATCTGCTAACCTATGCCTCTGGTAGGTTAGCATGCCTTTTGTAAGGACCCAGTAGTATAATTGTTATGTTTCTTCACATAGAGGGGGTTCGTCTGGACCCCCTCCCCCTGGATCCGCCACTGCTGCCTTTTTAACTTTCCCACTATATTTCAACACGGAACCAATTTTATTACTGGGTGAAGAGATGTCAACTGCTCCCAAAAAACTAATAGATCTGAGAGAGAAAAATGCAGGTAAATGAAAAAAATAATGGGAACAGAAAACATGCAATGAAAAACCAAAAGAAGAAGGCACTATATTTAACCATGCAAATAACACATGCACACCCACTTGAATAGGTATTGAGAATGCTTTATATTGTAGAAACGAAGTATCTCAACTCGCCGTACAAGATTCTTGAAATAGCGTACATATTTAAAAGATTTAATGACTACCTTTTACAACATTCAGTAAAACGCTTCACAAACTTTTAAACATGTGACTGCATTTTTACTGCATATAGCTACTGTAATGTTCATGAATCAATTTAAATGTTTACATATAAAAACCATAAAAACCAATGTTTGACATTTCTTCAACACAGTAAAAACTAAAATGTAAATTATTTACATTTTCGTTTTTTAAATTCTGTCAGCAAATGACTTTTATCATACATTGCAAGGTCTGCAAAGTGTGGTAAAGTTAGGGTTCAAAGGACCACACCTACTTGAGATTTTTTATTGTAGTACAAACACAAGATAGAAATAAAGTGGTTTAAGGAGATTATTGAGAAAGAATAAATCAGGGAATCGTTGACTTTAGTGGTTGATTCAATAGGGCTTATCAAGCGTAAGTTCACTGACTGAACACAAATGGCACTGGGAAAATATAATATGTGACCCTGTAGGGTTTGCTCAACTTTGATAGTGGCTTTTAATTTTAGCTTAACTTCAACAGTTCAAGTAAAGAGTCAAGTGCATGTTACATCGCTATACAATAGATAACATTTTAATAATTATTTCTTTATGATGAGTTACTGACAGTTACACTTGGCTTCTGATATTAGTATTATACAGTGATAAAGTTCATTCTTTCTGATAGCACAAACATGGTATGCACTGGCGATGACATGGGAAGGGGGAAATGAGACTGGCCACAACTTTTGTCAGAAGAGCCATCTCCTGATAAATAAGTGAACATTAAGAACTGCTATTTTTTGTAAAGCTAAAAGTCCTGCTATTTCGTAACAACTTTTTCTCAGAAATAGCATTAAATGTACTGTAAAAGGATTCTGTTCTTTTTAATATTTGAACATACTGCACTCTTCCTAATATCAAGAGCTACTTTTCTTTGAATCGATTTTATTATGCAACATTGTTGTTATCACTTACAAGTGGTGGCGCCAGATATTCCCAGAGAAGTGGTTTATGGGTCCCCATTACAGTAGGTGATCCCTGACTCAGCCCCTTCATCATGGTTAGGGCTGAGGTGAGAAAACATTAAGAATAGGCACAGGAAATTGCACTCAGACTACAAAAATGAATATTCGAGGCAGTGATCCTGACAAAATGATTGACTTTCTATGCCCCCCACCCCCATAACAGATGCCCACTGATGCCGCTACTGGTGTATAGTTCCAATATATAACAACATGATTCAAAAATTTGACACTGTACTCTTTTTACTTCAGGCATATTACAAATTTGAGATGAAATTGAATCTTTACACCATTCATGCATCACTCAACAACTTA